CTATTTTTGAAATCTCAAGTATTGACAGAACAAAGGAACATTTCTCAGTGAACTTCCTCTTCTACACGAAAAAATTCTTCCTCTGTACTTGGTGAAGCTGATTCCCAGTAAATACTTAAGCAGACGCTGGATGACCTTGTGTCAGGGGACTCATTTTAAAAGATTCTCATAAGCAGAGTATGTCTAAAGCCCCTCAGAACTCAAGATTCTACAAAAAAGAAAGATGGAACAATTACTTGCAGTATAGACCACTTACAGCTATTTGCTGGGGTTGACTCAGAGGGTAATTCCAAATACTGCTCTGATATTATCTCAGTATTGAAAATGCTAACATATTCATATTTCCAACTATCTAGATGATATTAACAGTAAAAATGTTAAGATTAAACATTGACTATAAAATGCCATAAACACAGCAGTAATAGTCAAAATTGGTTACCAAACTTAATTGGATCTCAACAGAAAAATGATGCTCTCAACCTGAGTGTCACCTAGAGCTATGTTTGACAACTAACAGCAATGGGAAAAACATGCATTTGGTTGAAGTAGGAAAATGCCCTGCAGCGTGCCGAAGAATTGGCCCATCATTCAGAATCTCTGAAATGCTTCCCCTGATCATTTGTCAAAGAGGACTGACGCAATAGCATAAGCTCGTACAGAGATTCTGATTAAAGAAACAACTCAGTGAAATCCAGAATATCAAAATTCAATGAACTTCCAAGTTAGTGAAAAGATTCCAAATTATAAGACAGTCAGAAAACAGTGCTCTACTTTAAGAGTCTTGGTCCAAAACCGCAATGCTAAGAGTTGCTAAATGAATAAATTTTTTTTTTAGGAAACACTTTCCATTTCCAAAATTTTATATTAAGGACTATAAAATAAAAGTCAGTGGTATATCCAAAAGTAGTAATATTAGACTGGTGGGCAAAAATATAACTAACTGTATACAACGAGATAGCCACTTTGGGCTAAGTACTCACAGTTGTATATGAAAAATCTTCAGGATAATCACATGTCAAAAGTGATCCCTGAGAGCCAAGAAACAAGAAAGGTGAGCCTACAAGTGCCTGAGCTTTCAGAAGACGTGAAAGCTTCCAGTTGTGGAACAGGAGCAGGAAGTCAAGCCACTGCGAATGTGGTAGTCTTTCGTTGCTCACAAGGAGGAACCGAGTTGGCTGAAGAGACACAAAGGGGCAGAATACACAGGAGGTGGACCCCAGAGAGGACAGCTGTCCACAGGTGACAGAGCGTATTCCACAGGTCTTCTGTTCCACAGGTCTTCCACTGAGTAAGGGAGTCCCTGGGCTATGAAATGAGATCCGTTCCCAAGTGCATCTTTATGACAAATTTGTGGTTTAGTTTTAACAGGTGCATGTACTTTGTACTTGCCTTACTTTAATGCAAGAAATAGCTTGAAGTCTTTTCAGTGATTTTAAATCTGTATATGCAGCAAGCAGGCAATGTGATGAAAAATAGGTGGGAAGAAGGGTGGATGGAATCACTTCAAAGTTAAGGCAACTTTATGCAACAGTAAGGGGCAAACAGGAGTTGCTCCTAGGTCCAACCAGGAGATTGCCTCTATTTATAAACATGTCCTGGAGGAAACTACCCAAAGAAAGAGCAAAAACCACCCATCCCATTACAGGAAACATCCACAGCACACACAAGGCAAGCAAGAGAACCTGTTCCCATCATCAGCCAGTGGTTTTGCCCAAAAAGTTCAAAATTTTCCCCATACTGAATGAAAGTAGCCCTGGTACTGCTTAAGAAAACTTAAAAGTTAAGACCCCCTCAGAACTTCAATTAATCCAAAGCTCAAGAAATTTTTGGAAATGGAAAATTATCCAGTACCCAAAACAGGGTGAAATTCCTAACATCAGGCATATAAATTAAAAAAGGGAGGGAATCAATTAATATGAGCACAGAAAGAACTAGTAAATATGGACATTAAACCCATTTTTATGACTGTATTCTATACATTTCAAAAAGCTAAAAGACATATGTTATTGTTGTTGCTGCTGTGTACCACAGAGTCAGAACCAACCCATAGCTGACCCTTGGGGAGGGGGAGGTCTCAGAAACAGCTAATCACACAGGATGAGATTGCCCATCCTTCTTCCGCGGAGCAGCTGGTGGCCTTGAACTGTGTGCCTTTGGGATTGCAGCACAGCTTCTTGCCACTAGGCCACCAGAGCTCAAAAGACAAAGACACAACAAATTGGAAAATTCCAATTTCTAGACATGACTCTATCAGAAATGAAAAATGAGCTGGAGAAGAGTTAACAGTAGATCAAACACTGCAGGGGAAAAAAGATTAACCAAACTTGGAGACACAGACTATCCAAAATCAAAGAGTCCTAGTGGTGTAGTGATCAAGCACTTGGCAGCCAACCAAAACGTGAGGAGTCTGGAGCCACCAGCTGTTCCACAAGCACAAGATCTGGCAGTTGACGACCATAAAAATTTACAGCCTTGGGAAACCTCTGGGGTGGTTTTACCCTGTCCTACTGAATTTCTATGGGGTACAAGAGTTTGAGCTTCTGCTGTCTTTTATTTAGTCCAAAATATAACAAAGAAAAATTTTAAAAAGACTGAGGAAAAAAGTGATCTGAGTTTTAAGACAACAAAGACAGGCTAACAGACATGTAGTTGGACTTCCAACAGGGAAGAAGGAGGGGGAAAAAAACCAAAAAAACAATCTGAAGAAATAAAGGCCAAAAGAATTCCAACTTTGATGAAAACCACAAACCCACATATCCAAAAAGCTCAATGAACACCAGGCACAAGAAATAAAAAGAAAACTATATAAACCACCCATTCACAAACGGTTCTCACTTACAAATTCTATAAGCAAATAGAGACTAGAAATTAAAGGTAACCTTTATTCTATCTCAGTAAGTGCAGCATTGAAATGGATACTCCAGGAGAATACACTAGTTTGAGTAAACCACTTAAGAAAATCCCTAACAACTTAAAATTAACAAAGTTTAAAAATGTTTTCTTACTCTATGATAAATAATTCATTAAGGTAAACAAGTAAGAGCAGTCATCTTATTTTAGCAAACAGAAATGTTTTAAAAACAGAAAGGTACTTCTTTTCCTTAATTTTTGTTTCCTTAATTTATGTGGGTCACTCAGAAGAGAATTAGGACACTGAAAAACTTTTAAAGAAACTAAAAGGTGGAACTGAAAACCCAGAGCAGATTTGATGTTTGGAAATGCTGGCCCTAAAAAAAAAAAAAAACCCTGGCAACCACCCTTTCAAAATATCTTTTTTTTTTTAAAGTATAAAACTGTACTCAAAAAGTGTCTGCTTTTAGCACCTCATTCCACTCCTCAGAACTCAAAGAAGTCTGAATATTTGAAAAAAACAAAGAACCACTGAATATTAAAAACATTAAAGTTGAAAAGATCTGTTTTCCTATTTTTGTAAACACACTATTGTTTCAGTGTTTAACACTCTAATTAAAGAAATTTCTGTCTGAAAACAGGCAAGAGAAGAGGAACAAATTCTGAGTATCTGTATCTACTGTAATGGCTACCCTTCCTGTCATGTGTTTTCCCCAAAATAGAAGCCACACTAGTTATTCTACCATTTTGCTTAGGAAATACTGAGGTCTTTAAAAGAGGAAAAACAGCTCTATGGTAAAGTCAACAAAAAATATATATACACAATTACTGGAAAGAATTAATTTTCCACATTCCTCTTTTTTTTCTTAAGGAAAATAAAAACCATACACACACATTTGGGTAACATAGACATTTCAGTGCCTATACAAATAAGCACTTTTGGGAAATACACAGTACTGCAACACTTCCTTGTAGGATCAACATGTATGTGAAAACCAGCACAAAAATCGCTGAGCACACTGAGAAGTTATCACTAGAGCAGAGATGTATGGATTTGACTTCTTGCTGTCTTTTAAACAAAAATTATTTCTTATGAACTATACACCTGAAATGTACATGTGAAGCTAACAGAGTAAAAAAGTACTTATTATCTAGTCATAAATAGTTATTAATAATGCACTAAATTCCTACATAGGAAATCAAGAAGGGTTTTTGAAATCAAGTTACAACTGACTCTTGCAAATCAGTATCTAGTAAAGAGAACTAAGCCAATACACATTATATCAAGCACATGAGAAATGTGCAGAAAATTGACAACCTCCATTCAAGTTCTTAGAATGCAAATCTATCCAGTGCCTGTAACAATGAAAATGGACTCGTTTTTTTTACATTCAACTCCAGGTAAGATTTCAATAGTCCCCAGGTCAAAAACATAACAACAAATCCAACCATATATACACATCAAAGGCAAAGATCTGCCTACTGAATTATCATTCCATTGTTAATCTGCCTTTCAAAACCTCTCAGCACTTAAAAAATGACCTCCTGAAACAGCAAGTCATCGAGTAAATTCACAGTAAATCCTCTAATTAAATGACTTTTCGTTATTACAGCCATTTAAAAATTACTTGCTTACAGCAACAGCCTCCCCCCCACCCCCTTTCTGCTCATCAGAACTATTGTCTGGGATTCTCTCGCTTCTGAAATTCCTAACACTTCGCCCGTTTTAAAATCTGGCCCTTTGCTTTTCATCACAAACGTGTAAAAGACGTTTCTGCATCAGATGCTGAGGACTCCACAGGCAGGGCGCCCCACCTACTTAGGAAAACCAGATTAATATGCTTTCTGTCTCTCCCTCTCCTTCTCTCTTTTTTGCCCAAAGGATCAAAGAGGGCACACTTCGCTCTGGTCTCCAGCACTGGAGGCTGCTGCTGGTGGTTCCCAGAGGGAGAAATGTCACCATTTTAACAGGTAAAAATTGCAAGCTGGTGATGAAATGCCCTGGACACCCAGGATGATCCCCCTTTCCAAGGTCCAGTTCTCCCGCCCCCTGGACTCCTCTGGCCACCTCGGGGGACTGGATGGATGGATCCACGGGGTTTGCAGAACAAGCCAACAAGCGGCCTGGGAAAGACGGCCAGCACACTTACATTTGGAGCATGACCTGGTTCAGGAAGACCCCGTCCACCAAGGCCACATATTCGTCCAGGTTGGTCCCATTTCCTGCGGCCAGAGGTCCAAAGGTTTTCACCTAGGAGCAGGGAAAAAAAAAAAAAAAAAGATGCTGGTCAAGCGAGGCATGGACGCCCACCTCCAACCCGCAGCCCCCACCACCACCACCACCGCGGCCGCCGACGGCGCAGGCAGAGGGTACAATGAAGGACACCCCACTTACCCAAGTGACCAAGGGGCTGCTCATGAACTGCTCCAGGAGGGGAGTGAAAATCTCGTTCTCCATTTTACAAATTGTGTTATTTCAAGGGGAGGAGAGGGGGGAAAAAGGAACTAGCACAAAATAGGCTGAGGGATCGGTCACTCAATGGAGTGAATGGCGGGGAGGGAGGGTCAATACAAGTCCGTCGGGGAGGAGAATCCCATGGTGGAGTAGGGGGGGACACCCCAAAGCCCGAGGGGAGGCGTCGCCCGCCACGCGCGGCAGCCTGCGCTGGGGACTTCGGCACCGGGCGAGGGCGCGCAGGGAACAGGCATCTGGAGGAGGAGGAGGAAGGGCAAGGGGGCCGGGGCTGCGAGACAAAAAGCTCGGCAAGGTGGCCCGGCGGCCGCAGGCGCCGGCGCGGCCACAACGGCCGCTCGATTAGCCGCGAGCGGGGGCCGCCAGGCTCGCCCTGGGCGCGCCGCTCGGCGTTCCGCTCCGCGCGCTCCACACCCCGGCGGACATGGAGCCTCCCCGCCCGCAGCGCGCTCAGCACCGGCAGGCGCGGCTCGCCCCGGTGCGCCGGGCACGCGCCATCGCTACCCCGCAAGCCTGGCTCCTTCCCTTCCCCGGGGAGGGCGTGAAGATGCGCCCCTAAACCCCCGCCGGCCTTTCCAGTCCGCTTCGGGCTGGACCGGGGAGGGAAGCGGCTCGGCCACACGATCCACAGCGCGCTGCAGCCACCTCCACCACCACCGCCTCCTCCACCGCCCTCTCTGGAGGAGCCGGAGTAACGGCCCCAGCACCGCAGTGCCGCATCACACACCCCACCCCTCGCCGCCCGGCCCCGGCCGCGAGCCCGCCGTCAAAAGAGAGCGCGGCTGCTCCCTCCGCGCCGGAGATATCCTTCCGCCGAACTCCCCGCCCTTCCCGCGCCGCTGCCTCTGGATTGTGGGAGAAGAAAAACCGCTGCATGGGCGCGCGCCCGAGCGAGCCAGCGCGCGCGCACGGCCCGGCCCCGACGCCGCCCAGATGCCGGCGGCAGGCGCGCTCCTGCGGCAGCTGCTGCGGTGGCCGGCGCCGCGCGCCCGCGCGCTCCCGGGACGGCTGCCAGGGCCTGGGGGGCGGGGTCGGGGAGCCGGAGGAAAGGGGTCTGTCTGCTTGATCGCTTGCTCAGGCCTAATTATGGTTTATTTCCTCCTCCCTCAGTGCTTGCTTTGATGTGTGAAGGAACGGGGGAAACGCGATCCTCCCTTTTTAACAAGAGAGATGCAGGCCGTCTTTCCGGACACTTTGGATGTGATCAGCTAAGCATGCTTTTTCAGCGCAAAATGGAATAGGAAAACTCACTGCAGCAAATGGCAAAGGGACTTGATGCACGAACTTAATTATTTTTCTTTCTTCTTCCTTTATACTCCCGCCCCCATCTAGCCACTCGAGCATGTGTGTTCAAAGTTACAAGTAAAATGTAATATGATTTGGAAATAATGACCACCGTATTTTATCTCATTGGTATTCCTTGACTGGGGCAATCCTGATTTAGATGTTGACTATTTGGTCATTGAGGGAGAGGAGGGGAACACGAATAGATCAAGAGCTTCTCAAAGGAGATAGTTCAAAGTCAAATTGAGTGACAAAATAAAGATTACATATTTCACAAGCACTACGCTTTGCCAAATTTAAGCACTTCTCCATTCTTACTTCCAGGGAAGATAAAGACCTTTCTGTAGGATGAAATAGGTATGTAAGAGACGTAGGTGTTGCTTGTTGTAATTTAAGAAAATAAATAGAATCGTACTGCTTATTACTTACGCAAATATCTACTTTGAGATACTTCTATCTTAAATTGGCAGTAAAAATTTCTTGTCATAGCACTGAATTAAGAAACAGCACAATTGCTTAATTAGATGGTGGAAAGCCTGGATGCCAGAATCTTCCTGTTGAGTTTGAATCCAAGTTGGCACAGGATAGAGCAGGTTTCAGGGCCATTGTACATAGGGTCGCTAGGAGGAGCAAGGAGCTCGATGGTGCATAACAATCACTTAAAAACTAGTGGCCTCACAACTCAAGAGTTGGTAGTTTGAATCCAACAGCTGCTCTGTAAGAGAAATCAGCAATTACTTGAGTTGTTGGGCGGGTGGGTGAGCCTAAGCACAATTCAAATCCCTTCTGTGCTCCACTTTCTTCACCTGTAAATCAGGGATAATGATAGAGTTAAATAAATTAGCAATCTGTAATAATAATAATAATAATAATAATACTATGGATGTTGTTGTCTCTAAATGGTGTTTGGTGTTCTGTTGTTGGTTTGTTGTTTTGTTTTTAAAGATAGCCTTTGAAATATAACCTTTCCCACTTAGTTTCAATTGCAAGAGAAAAGATATTGTCTAGGGAGCAGAACAAGGAAATCTTTTGCAAAAATATAATAATTAAAATCAGAATGCATTAGGTAATTACATGTGGCACTTTCCTAAGTGGGTAGAATATTGCATGAACCCTGACTGCCACTCAAGCCTCCTGTCGTCATGGATGCTGCCAACCTCTCTCAGTCTTTCTTAATCATATCCCATTATCCGGTGAATGAAAGGGCAGAAGGAAAGCAGGAACCCAGAAGGAAGCCTTGTTCTGAGGAGCCTCCCAATGCCTGTCACATGCATTTTTTTTTAATCCCTCAGAATCTTGGCATAAATAACCCTGCAGTATTGGTGCCTATTGTCATTAAAAGCCATCAAGCCAGTTCTGACTCCTGCTTGCCCTCTGTACAAGAGAACAAAACACTGGCGGATCCTATGCCATCCTCATGATCCTGGATGTGCTTGAACCTAGTGCTGTAGGTTCAAGTGCTGTAGGTCAATCCATGTCGTCGTTGACTCTTCTCTTTTTTTTGACAACAACTATTTTGCCATGATTACTTGTTATGCTTCAGAGAGTTGCACAGTGACTAAGGATGACAGAAGAAGAATTGATGCCTTGGAGTTGTGGTGGTGGAGAAGAATCTTGAACATACCTTGGACTGCCAAGAAAACAAATAGGTCTGTCCTGGAGAGGGTAAAACCAAGTCTCTCCTTGGAGGCTTGGATTTTGAAGCTCTGCCTCACTAACTTTGGGCACGTGACCAGGAGAGATCAGTCCTTGGAGAAGGACATCATGCTAGGAAGGGTGGACGGACAGTACAGGAGAAGGAGACCCCAGATGAGATGGATTGATACAGTAACTGGGGCAATGGGGATTGATGTGTCGAAGTTAGTGAGACTGGCTCAGGACAGGGAAGGGTTCAGAGCTGCTGTACAGAGGGTTGCTATACATCGCAGGTGACTCAATGGCACATAACAACAATAACATTACTATGACAGGTTTTGAAGCAGGAGTGGAATCAACTTCCTAAACAACATGCCTCTGGAAACTCTATGAACTTTGATAAATGTCGATAGTTGTAGAGGGGCTTCAGGCCGTTTGTTCATAGGGTCGCTATGAGTTGTGCTCGACTTGAAGGCAACACCAACAACATTTTACCATGATGCTGATGCTGTTCTCCATTGTGACTATCCGCTCCGGATAACAAGCCCAATGTAGTCTCTCCACTCTCCTTCTGAGGAGCTTCCGGCTGCATGTCTTTGTGCCTATGTTGTTGTCGTTATATACCAATCAGTCTGGACGAACTCCAGTTGACTGTCTGGCAGGTTTTCAGAGATAGTAAATCAGATGAGAAGGGATTACCCATCTTTTCCCCACAGAGCAGCTGGTGAATTCCAACCCTGTGCCTTTGGCTTGACAGCACAACTCCTTATCATTAAGCCACCAGAGCTCCCTCTTTGCGCTTATGCTGCTGTGTGCTGACCCTCTGGCAAATTTTCAGAGGCAGTTAGTCACACAGGAGAAGATTGCCCATCCTTCGCCCATGGAGCAGCTGGCGGATTTGAACCACGTGCCTTTGAAATTGCAGCGCAGCTTCTTATCACGAGGCCAGCAGAGCTCTCTTTGCTATTGTTGTTAGGTGCCATCAAGTACAACTCACAGCGACCATATAAACAACAGACTTGAACCCTGTCCTATCCTGTGCCATCCTCATTTTCTCTGGCACACTTTGTGCTTACGATAGGAGGGGTCTGGGTTTGAATTTTTGCTAACACAGACTACTGAGGTTCACTTCTAGATATATATTTTTTTTAATCTGTCACATTAATACCAAACAAAACAGGTTAAGGATGTTTAGGACAGTGGCCACGAAAGAGTTAATGCAAGAATTGTACATTTAACGTCAATTCTCCAGTTTGCATTTAGTACCCAGCCTCACAGAGATTTGGATTCCCCTTCAGAGCCAGATGGCCTCAGATGCTTCCTGGTCTTTCTTTAGATTACACACACACACACACACACACACACACACACACACACACACACACACTCGGCCTCGCTTGCTCCCTTGCTCGCTCTCTCGAGAAACATGAGGAGTTAATTGTAAAAACAGGAAGCTTCAGCCCAGACTGAAATCTGGAGGAACTTATGCGAAAACCTAACAATTCACAATTCTCTAGTTTTAACAACAGCTTTAGAAATGCTTGATCATATCTCAGGAGTGCAATCAGGAAATTTCTCTGTCTGGCAAAAAAGAAGGATCGCGCATGATACACAATTTAAGGATCTCTGAATTGTACAATTTAAGGATCTCTGAATTGCGACGTCCACTGAGATTAAACTCAAATGTTTCCTGTGGTCTTGTCTCTAGGGGAGAGATTATTTTTTTTTCCAGGTCAATTTTGCTTTGTGCTTGGTAGTCATTTATTTGCGCTCCATTCATCCTTTCTCGGGATGTTAAATCTTGCAGAGAAAGACTCTGGAGAAACCTAACTCACTGGCTGTTGTTGTTGTTGTTGTTGCTGTCGACCAGTGTATACAACATACACTAAATTATTTGGCCAGCTCCTCTTGTGGGGAGTGGTTAGGGAGCTGTGCTGCTAACCAGAAGGCAGCCCCTCTCTGCTGGTTCGAATCCACCAGCTGTTCTGCAGGAGAAAGATGGGCAATCTCCTCCCGTGCAGCTAGCTGACTGCCTCTGCGAACATGCTGACAGTCAGCTGTGAGTT